CATGAATCCCCTCGTTCGGTTGTTTCTGTCTACCCAACGAGGGGCCGTTCGGTAGTTTGGAACCGAACGGACAGGGCTTGTGGAGGTCTCAGCGGGGTTCGCCTAGTCGAGTGTCCGATTTGGGTTCCAGACACTCGACGGCAAAACACCGCTGTACGGGAGTTTTAAAATGGCCGCCGCCACGTATTCGTTTCCCGAATGGCGGCTACCCCGAGAAAAAAGGACCTACTGCATAGCTTGTTAATTACCCATTCGCAACAAACATCCATAACTTTATTTATTAAATCTCTTCTTTCTGTAACCAAAACGTTAGACATAAATAAGCATAAATTAACATATATACATATATAACTCCACCCATAGTGTTATACAGTGACACAACCATCCTTGCCAATAAACATACAGTGGTTCCTAATCACCACTTCCTCTCACCTCCCCCCTCATCATAAAAATCATATATTTCCAATGCCCGCCATCAGCTGACCTTATCCACGCTCGATGGGCACGACACCTCAGGCACCCTAATGTTTAACCTTTTGAAGCAGGGGAGGTTGAGACCTAAAAAAACTTGTTCATCTCATTCCATATACTTAAACGTAACCACACAAACTCAATTGGCAAGGACATACCTCCGGCTAGCTGTGACGAAATATACCAATAGGGCGGCGGGAGGGAAGCTGTTTGCTGGCCCGAATCCCAAGTGGCACTGAGGTAAGACCTCCCCCACACTAACTTACACAGAACATAATCCCACCCACACACTCTTTCCCAATCAATCCCATGCATCTATCACCACACTCCTACATGTGCCCTTGTCTGCTTAGCTGCGCTATCTCCCCAGGGCCTAATAACATAGTGTAGTATCCTATTAAACAATGTATGACATGCCAATATAATACACTCACAGAATGTCAAGATAAGTCGCCTGTAGGGTGTCTCCTCCGATGGCACTGGGGGGGCTAAACGGAATCCTCCTTTCCTTCCCCTTTTCAATATTCAGGAGTTTGGACAGAACAGGAATCAGGGAAATGATTATAAAAGCTTCATTTATTGCCAAAAGTTAAAAATATAAAACAAAAGCTAGTCCTACGCGTTTCGTTCCATAATAAGAACGTCCTCAGGGGCTTAGTAAAAATAAAATCACAAGTTTACAGAATGCAATGTAACAATGATAACTGCCTGGAATTCCTCTCCCCAAAATACACATTATATAGGCATACTATCCAACAGTTCATTTGTGGTCAGGTGGGTGTTTCTTGAGTCCAGTGCTTGATTCGCCGCTACGGGATCTTAAACAGCTGTTTTCGATCAGTCAGTTTTCGCATTGCGGTACATGCACGTATGCGTTCCACTTCAAGTTCATTATATTCCCCATGTTCTACTAGTATCTGTCATGCGCTCATAAGTATTTGCATTTACAATTAATTTTAAATCTATATTTTTATAGTTAATGTTATTTATTGATTATATATAAAGGGCTGATGAGTTATCGAAAGTGCATTAAATATAAAGTGCACATATACTTTTTTTTCTTTTAAAGTCTTGAATATTTCATTTTCAAGATATTACATTATAAACTTGAGTTCTAATTTGAAATAATATAATGTTGAAAAAAATCATAAATATAAATTCCATATATAAAAAATTATTTTGACTTCATGTCTATCTGTAGACAATATGCCCTCTATCTAAAAAAATATATTAAATGATACAAAAAAAAAATATCAGGTGGGCGGAGCCTGACAGCCCAGCTGTACAGACGTGGGGGCAGAATACAGGGCACAATCGGCGGCTACATAGCCTAAAGACCCACCAGGGTGCACTACCCACGTAGGGGGTGCACTCCTGTATCGAGTGGTACCTCTATGGAGCCCGTTGGGGCCAAGGGAACGAAACGCCAGGTGCGGCCTACTGGGGTCTGAGCCGGGGAGAGGCGGCTGCTCTCTCCAACACCGGATACCCCCGGAGACTTTGCTGATCTCCTACACCCCCCCTGGACCTGTGGGAGTTATCCCGGTCCCCACTGGACAAGCGGATCAAGACTGCAGACGAGTAATTCCGGCTACACAGCCTGCAAAAGCACAGGACTGCCGAGGCACATCCAAGATGGCCACCCAGCAAGGGACAAAGAGAAGGAGCACAGGCAGCCATTCACCCTCTCACCCCCTGGAAGCCCTTGAACGGCTCTACTTGAGGACCGGGGAGTGTCCTACCATCCAGCGGCTCGAGTGGTGGCCTCGTGGATCCGTCTTGCAACCCGCCGACGCCATTATGGACTCCCACTTCAAGCCTTCAAAGCGGCCATCCGGGCAAGCAGGCACCGAATACCGCTATGGTGGGAAACAGAGCCATGCCACCCGGGCGAACGCACCCGCTCCCACACACACATGAGCTGGACCACCGAGCAACCCCTACGCTCCAGCAACTCACCCGACCAAAGAATCTCGGACCAGCAAGACACTACTCTACACTCCAGGGCTATAGCTGAGTGCCACGCCGCTATAGAGGAGAAAACTTCTCAGAAACAAGCAGGAGCTGGACCCAAGCCCTGGGACTCCATATCGGTTAATGAGAATACCTACCTGCTGTGGCCCACTCCTGGCTATCATTGATACCAACTAATTAGGCACTGCAGACATTTCAGACCCATGATGAGAAACACATTTTTATTATATGTTATGGTATACTAGCATCTTTTTTCTTTTCTGCTTAGTGTCTAATAGCATCTCTTGTACCCCACATGACAGCTAATATTAGCGAGCTACTTACCCAACCATTCTCTAATACTCACTGACATATACAATCTCTTATCACTAGCATACTCTCCAATGCGTTATCTCCTATGCAGGGACTCATGTCTCTCCCCATCTAGACCCAATAAGCAGTGAAATGTCAGGCCTGCTTTCAGTGGTTTAAACAACTACTTACACATCCTGCATGGTAATGAATAATAGTTAAGCTATATGTCACTCACTGGTGCCATGCTTCCATTTACTACTATCACGATCAGCAAGTCCCTCTGACTCTTGAAAAGTTTTTAAAAGTGTTAAATGGTACCTTTCGCGACTCCGTTGCGAAACTGGGCCTGTTCGTGGGAGAGGCTGCCGTTCATTGGAGTTCAAGCATACGAAATTTAAGTTTGCGTTTATCCCTTGCTTTCACATCTGCATCCGCAATGATTTTTAGTATTATCTCCTGAGGTGGGTTTGGGCCTAACAGCGCCAATCTTTCCCGAATCTCCCTCAGCTGTTCGGCATTTTCCGTGAGAACTAAAGGATTCGCTGTGGCCAAGTTCTCTCAATCCAGCTCCATCAGTTCGCTGATCAAAACTCTTTTTGCCTTGTTTCTGGCAATACATCCCCGGGCTTCCAATAACTACTTCAGGTAGTGTGCTTAAGTTGAGCGTACCTGATCTGCATCCGACTTTAAAAAAAAGCTCAAGGGAAAGGGACCATCCTACTGCTTCCACCAGATGTGGCGGACCGAAGTATATTGCTGCCACAGATTCCCTTTCCAAAAATAACGTAGCTCCAACACTCATCAAAGTAAATATTGCTGGTATCGCCTTTCCCCCCAAACATCAGTCGAGACTGAATGCTGGGAGATGTGGGGATATTTATGGATTGATAATATTATACAGTTGAGAATTGCCCACTATTTCAATTCTCTTAGATCTTAGAGATCGTTATCATGGAAGTGAAATGTATTCCATACAAATAAAATCACAATTTGTTATAAATATAGATATAATTTATTGTGACAAATAAAATAATAATAATATTAGGCAGCGTGTATGATAATAATCAGTGAATATTTAGTATAACATAAGTATGTAATACAATAGCAATATTAAAACAATCCAATGGCTAACAGCATCAACTGTCAAGACTTACAAGATTTATGAGGGTACTTCACAGACACAGAAAGCTAAACTTCCAGCGAAAAGCCATAAAACCTTGGCTAACAGTTAGAACAACTAAGTAACCCTTTCAATGCTGGCTAGATCCTCCTAGGCATATAACATCCTATTCTCATGTAATTTTCAATTAAAATAACATTCGAACCAGCTCATTAATCATTTCCTGTAACCATCCAATAAGAATAATCTACCAGATTTTTACAAAAGCCGAATTTTAATTTGCCTAAATAGATCTTTTATCTTATTTTAGAGCAAATCAATACACCTGGATAAAAACAGCGGTATGCTGGGGGGCGTGGCCTAACGCCAGAGCTGAACGGACGCATGTAGGAGCAGCTCCCGGCACAGACACCAAAACAGGCACTAAATAATCGGCACAACAAGCGGAAAACACTCCGGTCACCTGGGAACTGTAAGCACCATGTCCCAGCGCCCCAAAAACAAAGCGGGGAAGGCAGAACGTGCCTCTTTCTTCGGCACGAAAATCGCGGCATCCAAGCAGCGCGAGGGAGAGGAGCTTGCGCAAGATGGCGGCGAATTCTGACCGCGGGAAAACTCCCCCTCACCCAAATCATCCCCCACACGGCATACAGAAGATCAGCCACCTACGATGGGAGGTATCCGTGCCCTAATGTCAGAATTTTCAGACACCATCCAGAAAAACATGCAGCTGCAGATACAAGCTCTGACAGCAGACTTACAGAAAGACATGCAAGAAATAGGAAACCGCACAGCTCATGTGGAGTCCAAAATGGACGAATATGTGGAGGCACATAACAGCTTAGCAGACAAAATCCAGGAATTGGATGGCATTCTGGAAGCACACAGGCTAAGGTTAGCTGACATGGAGGACAGGGCAAGGCGGAACAACCTGCGGTTCAGAGGAATACCAGAAACAGTTACAAACGCCGAGCTACAACATTATCTCTCAAAAATGCTCCAGAGCCTGGTACCAGAAATACATCCAGATCAACTACTAATAGACAGAGCGCACAGGCTGCGCAGACCAAAACACCTGCCGCAAACTGCTGAGAGGGATGTAATTGCTAGAATACACTTTTTCCACGCAAAAGATAGGATCATGCGAGCCAGCAGGACCCCAGGTATGCCGAACGAATACAGCTCCATCAAGATCTTCGCGGACCTATCGGCAGACACTCTCCAATTCCGAAAATCAATGGCGCCGATTACTTCCACCCTGCGGGAGCACAATCTGAATTACAGATGGGGATTCCCTGCCAAACTTCTGATCTCCCACCAAGGGGCCATACATGCTATCATGACCCTGCAGCAAGGCGCCCAGAAACTAGGAGATTGGGGGCTCCCCAACCGGCGACAGAGCCAGCTAAAACAAGAGTGCCCAGGATGTCGCCAGAAAGACTGCTCTTCCCCTGGAACACGCGTAAATATTCTATAAACACTGTGCAAGTTAAGGTGCTAAAACCTCCAAGTTATAGGGATGTAGCTTAATACTTCCTTAGCCATAATGCATTTGTTAATGTTGTTATGCTTCAAACTACCTAGCCCGCAACAAGCAGCAGAGACTGCTGGTTAGAATGTGACGCTGCCCAATAAGCTTCTCAATCACTCCCCCACGGGGGCACAAGCACGGTAAAGGCACATTTTAGGCATGCTGCCAACCTACAGCGAGGCTAAGTTTAGCAGATTATTGAGACTAGTTAAGTGTTGTTCATGACCTGTTAGTTTTACAATTCGGTGTTACAAGTGCTCTTTTGGTTTCATGGTGAAAGTCTACTATGTGTAAAGACCTCACCACCACTACCCCCACCAGACGGGCCTATTCACTAGGCGAGTCTCGAGGCTCCACTCCTCGGAGCCAAGCTGGGTGTGTCACCCACCAGTTTTTCCAACCCCATCCCACCCATCACCGTCCTACCCCTTCTCCCTCCAGTCACGAACCCAAAAGCCGGTACAGCAGTGCCACCGCAAACATACCAAACTGACATGCTGCAAAGAACCAGCAGCACCAGTAGCAATGAGGCCCAAGCTTCATAGCATCCTTTCCCTACCTATACACCCATGGTTAAGATACTAACGTATAATGTAAAAGGATTAAACTCCCTGGGTAAACGCAGGCTATTATTACAGGACCTGAAAAAAAGAGGAGATAGACGTTGCGTGTATTCAGGAAACACACTTCACCAACACTCGAACCCCTGCAATCTACACAAAACTTTATCCAGCACAATATCATGCCACTTCTGATAACAAAACGAAGGGAGTCTCTATTCTCATACATAAAGCCATAGCATTTCAAGAACAAGTAGTCTCTATAGACCCCCAGGGAAGATACGTAATCCTAGTGGGTCTCTTCAATAATGTCCAATATACATTGGCCTCTGTATATTTCACCAACACTGGATCAGAAAAATTCCTAAGACTCATACTCAAAGAGATAGATAAATTGAGACAGGGGGGATTGGTGTTGTGCGGGGATTTTAACTTTATAATATCCCCAGACTCCCAAGAGGCACTAGACGGGCAAGTATAGTATCCACAGGCAAAAAACTGTCCAGACTACTTACACTACATAACCTGTATGACAGTTGGAGAATACTCCACCCAAGGGAACGGGATTACTCCTTCCACTCCAAAGTACACAATACCTACACCCGCATAGACACCTACTACGTGGACCAATCCACATTAGCACAGATAGCCAAGTGTACGATGGGAGACATCACGTGGTCAGACCACGGCCCGTTGTCCCTGGATCTGTACGATAAATTTCAGTTCAAAGGTAGAGGGAACTGGAGGTTAAACGTGTCCCTACTACAAGACAGTAACTTCGTGGACCAAATAAAGGTTGAACTCAACAACTACTTTCAGACAAACTCTGAGGGGGAAACATCGGCCTTGACCATCTGGTCGGCCCATAAGGCCGTTGTCCGTGGTTTATTTATTAGACACTCCTCGTATCTTAAAAAGCACAGACAAGCGACTATAATGGACTGCCAACAGCAATTAGCAAACTTAACTGCCCAAAATAAATGCGCCCCCTCACGAGCCCTTGCACAACAAATCCAAAATCTACTAGACAAACTCACCGAATTACAGGCGGCTAAAACCTCATACCTGCTACACAAACTCAAAGCGACCCAATACCACCACAGCGGGAAAACCACCAAACAACTAGCTAACAGGCTAAGAGCAAAACTAGCAGCCACCAAAATAGCACATATACAGGGCCCAGAGGGTAGCAAAATACAAAACCCACTAGATATCACTCAGGAGTTCGCCAACTACTACTCTGGCCTATATAACCTGGGCGACAGACCAGATATCCCCCCCATCCAGGACAGTAACATTAGGGAGTTTCTAAATCGACTACCCCTCCCTAAAATAAATCAACACCAAATAGAACAACTACTTCAACCTATTACTCTACCAGAAGTACTCCATACAATAAGGAACCTCCTCTCAGGAAAAACCCCAGGAGCAGACGGCCTGCCAAACCTGTATTATAAAACATTTGCAGAAATATTAGGCCCTAAACTTGTCCAAATATTCCAAGCAGCTACAGACTCAGGGGAGCTTCCCCCTGAGATGCTACTAGCAACTATAGTTACCCTACCAAAACCAGGGAAACCACCAGACCAATGTAAAAATTTTAGGCCAATCTCCTTATTAAATACGGACGCTAAGATATACGCAAAAATCCTGGCCTCCAGATTAGGTAAAATCCTGCCCTCGATCATTGACGATGATCAAACAGGGTTTGTGATCGGGAGGCAGGGGCTAGACAATACACGAAAACTGTCCCTAATTATGGAGGAATTGAGAAGATCAGGCCCAGGTTGGCTACTGTTAGCTCTGGACACTGAAAAAGCGTTTGACCGCCTAGGTTGGTCCTTCTTAAAACAGGTCTTGTCGATATTTGGATTCCCACAACAGTTCATTCAGCAAGTATTCGCCCTATATTCCCACCCCAGGGCCCAGGTACTGCAGGCAGGATTTAAATCAGATCCCTTTCGAATTACAAACGGCACCCGACAGGGGTGCCCTCTGTCCCCCTTGCTGTACGTACTGGCCCTGGAGCCCTTACTAGTAGCCATTAGATCTCATCCCGATATCAAAGGCGTAAATTGGCATGGCCGACAAATCAAGAATAGTGCATTTGCGGATGATATCCTTCTGTATGTTTCCCACCCTGATGCCTCCCTACCACACATAATGCAACTTATCGAGGAATACGGAGGTCTCTCCTACTATTCCTTAAACGCCTCCAAAACACAAGCATTAGGGTTACGCCTGGACCCACAAGTCCTCGCACATTTACGTAAAGATTACCAATTCGAATGGCGGACAAATGACATCAAATACCTAGGCCTGACGTTCACCAAAAAAGTCTCCGATATGTTCCCAACTAACTATACCAAAGTATGGAATGAGTGCCTGTCCTTACTGCGGGGCTGGGAAAAATTGTTCCTCACTTGGACGGAACGTATTGTTGCTATTAAAATGTCGGTACTACCGAAACTTCAATATGTGTTTAGGAACCTCCCGTTGAAGGTGCCACAATCTTATTTTAAAACCATACAATCTAAGCTGCTGCAGTTTACCTGGGGAGCAAGACGGGCGAGAATTTCTTGCAGACTATTATCTGCACCAGTGAAGCACGGGGGCATGGCATTTCCAAATGTAAAATCCTACTACCAAGCGGCAGTCTTAACCCCTCTGCTAACACATTTGGTGAGGGACAACCAACCACAATGGGTGCACTTAGAGAACCTAGCTGTTAAACCCTTTTCAACCACTAACCTGATATGGTTGCACAAAAAAAACAGACCAAACACACCGCTAATACCCTTACAAGTACAACTAGCGTTACAAATTTGGGACATACATAGGATGAAGTTCGAGACAGCCAATCTCCTCTCCATGGCAACACCCATAGAAGCCATAACATACTGCATCCCAACATTTCATGCAACACCATGGATGGGCAGGGGAATCTCACACCTAGCTCAGGTTTTTGAATCGGGCGACCTGATGAGTTTTGAATGTCTCACCACGATTTATAACCTACCACACACATCACGATATTCATACATTCAACTTAAATCCTTTCTACACACAAGTAACAAAGATAGTAGAAGAGAGACTAATAATACTAGAGAGCTCTCAATCTGGGAACAAACAGGTATCACAGGCAAACTACCCCAGACTTTCAAACCCTTATCTGGATGCTACAGACTTATTCTGCCGTACCAACCCCTCTCCGACTCCACGCCAGCACACCAATGGGAAATGGACCTCCAGACTCCCATCACTGAGAGACAGTGGTCCAATATCACATCTTCAACTAGAAAATTGATCAAATCTGCTCCCCTTATAGAGCAACACCAGAAAACAATATATCGGTGGTACATGGTGCCGCTACGTATACATAAACTGTATCCCAACGCGTCCCCGACGTGTTGGAGATGCAAACAAGAGAAGGGCTCGGTCCTCCACATTTGGTGGAAATGTCCACGCCTAATCAGATACTGGGAAGACACCCAAAAAATCATTGCCGATACCACTACCATTCAACTACCCCTTGATCCTAAGACTTTTCTACTGCTAGACATACCCAGGGAAACACCCACACAAGCGAGAAAATTAATATACCACGTCCTGCTAACCGCACAAAAATTGATAGCACGACTCTGGAAAACAACAGAGGCCCCTAGCATTCCAACCCTCATCCAGGACATAGACAACCAAGCTATTTATGAAACAAGCTTCTCCAAGGCGCGGAACAGAACCAGCTGCAGTAGCAGTATGTGGGAACAGTGGCGCGTCTGGAGAACAGCTAACAAACAACACATAAGCCATCAACAACCTAACTAAACACAAAGACTAGACGCAGAAAGAGGGTGGGTAGCAAGCACCTCGAGGCAGTGGGGAAAAAAATTGGGTCAGGGAGTACTACAAGGCAGATTGGGACTTAGGACTTGGTAAATATGCCTAGATGTTCGGATCAGCTGTACTAAGATGCATAGGGAGAACAACCGTTTACTGTGTGCTGTTGAACCGCTGCAAATATCTGTAAATGTCAATTATTGTATATTCCTAGCTAACATATGATTCAATGTAACGTGACTGATCCTCCCCCCCCCCTCCTTCCCCCACCTCTTTCTTTTTTCTGTACCACACCCCACCCACCCTACACTTATTGATGTGAAAACCAATAAAATACAAATTTAAAAAAAAAAAACAGTGGTATGCTAACACGTGATAATATCACATTAATATATAATTATTCTTAATTCCACCTGCAGAATGGAATGTTTATAACTATATATTCTTTAGTTAACTAAGATTTCTAAATATTGAAATCTGACCGTGATTTATCCAGTCATATATCATGCTATTACATTTTAATTAATTTAGATTAATTAAATAAAACCA